GGGCAGATGTAGATATGGCTAGAAGAAGGCAACCATTAGTGTCATTAGGTTAGTGGTGAAATTATCAAGCTGTATTAGTTATTACTATTGTTTACTTTAGAGAAGGAAAGATTAGCTGAGATAAATGAAGAGCTACTAATGAGTGGTTTCACTGAAGCTAAATGGTTTAAGTTAGGAATGATCCTTGGTTTAAGCCTCCAGACACTGAAAACAATTGAATCAGATTATAAAGGAGATGGAGCTAGTCGTTGCCTGATGGAGTGTCTAGAGAAATGGCTCTCTAGAGCAGATAATGTAACTGGACCATTGTCTTGGATCACATTGGCTAATGGACTACGTAGAATTGGAGAAGTATCATCAGCTGAAAAGATCAGTAAATGTAAGTGTTGTTAATAATGAAGCATGGACACTTAGAACATAGAAACTGAGTGCATCAGACAAGAATTAGTCAAAGAATGTTATATGTTCTTCATTCACCATGCATACTGAAATGAAGCAGAATATACCAGATAATTTAACACAAATATTATTTTGATAGCTGCTTTATCGTTTGTCTAAAATTATGAAATAAATCTTGCTTCTCATTTCATTGATTTGTCTGATGTTTTTATTGCAGGACATTGAGTATTAAAATAATAATTATTGTACTTAATAAAATTCTATGTATAATTTAAAATAAATAAACTTATATAATTGACATAAAAGCTATAGAATAATAGTGGGTAAAAAATTATTATTTTTAATTATTGCTATCCAAATTATTACTTCCTCCTCCAATAGTATCTGGTCCAGCTAGTGAGTTATTCCAGCGTTACAGTGTTAGACTGTCTGCAGTGTCCATCAGTGAGGAGTCAGTTGATCTGTTATGTACAGAGAGACTGATATCAAATGAGACCAGGACTGGAGTGGAGAGTGCTGGGGGTTTCCTATTAGGAGACACACTGAGAGAAATACGGACTTCAATAACTGAAGATCATAACAAATTGAGAGCATTAGGAGACATCTTACTGAAATCAGATGAAGCAAAGACTATAGGACAAGACATACTAAAAGAATGTGGTAAGATGATAGTGTGAATCGCAATGCACTGACTGTACAGGATTGCATTGTAGATACTTTATTGTCTGATACTGTCACTGATTCAAGTGGACCAAACTCATCTACTGTACCAATATCATCAGGTAAGATAATATTATTAATAGTAATACACATTATTATACAACTATTGATAGTTGA